TCCTGAACGGCAGGGTTGCAGATCTGCTATAATCGTGATGGACACCCACTGCTTTCATCTGTGCTGCAGGGTCAGGCTTCAGCGTACGCCTATGGGTTAGTTTCCTTTGCAAGTGGGAACATGGTACGCGCCGCGCACACCTGCAGCTGCACTTGCCGGAATAACCTGTCACAGGTGCGGGGGGAGTTTGTTAGCTTTCCATTGCTGCGTCGTACACCCGAGGAAGTACTTAGGGAAGAAAGGTTTATTCCACTTTGTGGTTTCTGAGGCGTCAGGCCCTGGCACTTGGCTCCAACGCTTCTAGGCCTGTGGTGACGTGGAGCCTCGTGGCGGAGGGGGATGGTGACCGGTGAGTGGGCAATCAGTGGGTCTGGACTCTGCGTGAAGCTCCGGCTCTGTACTTGGTATCTGAGGAAGTTAACCAGGAAAAGCAACTTACTTTTCTTACTGTTAGCACTATTTATACTTTTCCCTTAATCTGTTTAATTTTGAGCACTCTGAATTTATTTGGCCATAAGAGATTTTATTTATTTATTTAGGTGGTCGAAGGGATTGAACTCAGGACCTTGCGCTTGCCAGGCAAGCACTTATTCCACTGAGCTTTCTCCCCAGACCCTATAAGAGATTTTAGGCAGAGGCACGCCTCGTTCTCGTGGCGCATGTTCACATCTCGGTGGCAGGCAGATCCGGGTTACTCTGCTCGCCCTCCCATTCATTTCCCCTTTGCTCAATTTTGTTCTCTAACATTTATATTTTCTATTATTTTTTCTGTGTTGTTTTGTTTCTTTAAACCTCTCTCTATTATTTTGTCATGACTTAGAGTGCACATAACTATTGCTCATACTGAGTTGGTGGGCTGCGGCACCTTTCCCCGCTCTTGATGGCTGTGCTGTGCGCTAGTTCAGCTTGGGATTCTTTCTGTGTTATACAAGAATGAACCCTGATGCAAGAGTTCAGATCGTCAGAAGAGTTTGTTTTGAGTGGAACAATAAGTCAGCGAGTGCTTGTCTTACATAAAGACAACAACTGATCTCTTTGATCTCTTGGACTAGCTAAATGTGAATTAAGCCAATCTTGGGCTGAATTATTAGTGATTATTTGCATGAAAGCGGTTCAGTGGTGTGTTGC